GGGTGCCTTAACTGGCCTTCCCCCATAATCAGATTGGTGACTACCCTAACTGTCATCAGAGATACTCTGTTCAGTAACTGATGGAAGCAGATGCAGAGATCCATAGCCACACAGTGGACCAAGCTCCGGGAGTCCTCCTGAAGAAAGGGAGGAGGGATTGTACAATTCTCAGCGGTCAGGGTCATGACAGAAAACCCACAGAGACAGCTGATCTCAGCTCCTGGGAACTCATGGACTCTGGACCAACAGTTAGGGAGCCTGCTTGTGACTGACCTATGCCTTTTGCATGTGTGTGACAATTGTGTAGCTTGAAGTGTTTAGAAGACTCCTAGCAGTGAGATCAGTACCTGTTCCTGACACTTATCTGGCTTTTGGTGTTCCCCTTGCTGGATTACCTTACCCAACCTTGATGCAGGGGGCAGAGCTCAGTCTTACTTTTATTTGATGTGCCTTGCTTTGAGTTATGCTCAAGCCCATGGGAGATCTGTCCCTTTCTGAATGGAGATGGAGGAGGAGTGGATGGGGAATGGGTAGGTGAGCATTAGGGGGACAGAGCAGGAGAAGTAGAGGGAGGGGAAATTGTGAACAGTAAGTAAAATAAATGAAAAAAAGTTAATAAAATAAAATAAATTTTAAAAAAAATAAATTAAGTCCTCTCTATATATGCTATGGTTGAGTAGCTTGGTGTTCTTGTCAAATACATAAAAGTGGGAGCTGGTATGGATGCCAACTATTTTGCCTAATTATGGAACCTTTATCTTCTATTGGGTTGCCTCATTCAGCCTTGATGTGACAGTATGTGTCTAGTCTTACATAGCACATTATGCCATGTTTCATTGATGTCCCTGAGAAGCCTGCTATTTTCTGAGGGGAGACTATGGTTAGGGCAGATCTGGGGGAGAGGGGAGGTTGTGAAGAGAGATACTGGGGGAAAGGGAAGGAGGGGAAATTGTATTTGGGATGTACTCTATGAGAGAAGAATAGAAAAAAGGAAATTAGCATTCCTCTACTTGTTAAGTACAAGATAATTTTGAGGCTCTTTACCTATCATTCAGAGGCATATATTAGATAGGCTAGTTAACCCAAATATTTTGCTTATTGATATATCGGATACTGATATATGTACTTCTGCATGCCATTCAGAAACCACTAAGAACAAATCAAATCATATTTACTAATAGCTTCTTTGCTCTTATGATAAGCTCTAATGATTTCCCATTTAGACATATATATATATATGTATATATATATATATATATATATATATATATATATATA